GCCCCTATGGGGAATGGCTAATGCTTCTATCATCATTTTAAAATAAATGTTCTGTATCTTCGACACTCTTCCAATAATTCTCTCAATATTTTATTTGTACAAATTTCATTTAGCAGTTTGGCAATCTTTCCTAGTCTTCAAGGATGGTTTCCTTAATTGATCTCACTATGTCTTAACTGTACGTTCAAGAATAGTAACACACACACCTCCGGTTCCCCTGGAGGACAGGGGTGGGTTATTCCAGGTGCCTCACCTCTTTTCCTTTCTCAAATTTACAGGGATCCAATCATCCTTTATGCTCTACAACTTTTGTATCTGTCTTCTCCAACCCTTGGATGATCTCCTTTTGCATTTTAGATATCCTGTTCAAATCTTTAAAAGCCTGTTTTTCCTCTTTAGTTTGCTCTCTATCCTTCTGCCTAAGAAAATCCCTTTCTTCTTCAGTTTAAAGTTGTTTCTTGATTTTATTTCATTGTTCTGCTGTTTCTGTTCTGGCAAGAAGTCAGCCAGGCTAGTGGTGTGCGTCTATTAAGAGAATGTCTATATATTCCTATTTTATTGAGTTTTAAAAATCAAGATCAGATGGCAAATTTTATCCGTTTTATTTTTCTTTCTAGAAATGGTTACTTCTGTTATTTATGTTTGCTTCTAAATTCCCCCTACTTAGTATCTTCTTTTCCAGATTTTTTACATTTTTAAGTGATCTTTCATTTCTTTTCTTCCTCTTTTATTATGTTACTACAAAATCCTTTCTTTCCACTTTCAGTAGAGAGTTTTACTTTCCTATTGTCTAATTTCACTATGATTTAGTAATTACAAATACAAACATACTTCTTTACTTCCAAACATACTTCTTTACTTCCAAACATACTTCTGTACTTCCAAATATACTTCTGTACTTGAGTTATGACCAAAGTTTATCATCAATATGATTGAAAAATTTTGAAATTATATGATACTTGTTTTGGAGGCAAATCATGATCAATTTTTTTTTGGTAATGGTTCATTAATGTTTGAAAGAGTGTGCTTTTCAATCTAGTGGGTGCATTATTCAAATATTGGGTAGCCTTTGTTTTAAATCTTCATTTTATTAAGATGTTTAATTTTTTTCCATCCTTACTATAAATACCTTATCTTTCTCTTGGGATCCTGATTTCAATTCTTTTGGATATGTACCAAAAGAAGTGAATATGGATATGTATTCTTTATACATGTTCTCTTTTGGATTGCTGGATCACATGGTAGTCTATTTTAAAGTTTTGAGGAATTTCCACACTGGTTTCCATAGCTGCTGTACCAGTTTACATTCCAGGTTCTGATTTCTCCACAACCTTGCCAGCTCTCTTTCTTTTTTTGTAGTAACCATCCTGACAGGTATAAAGTGGTAAGTCGTTATAGCTGGACTTACATTTTATATCATTCTTTTATATGTTATTAGATTGATACATTGCAAGATTTGGTAGTCTTTTGTGGAAGAAATTTGCATCTATATTAATCATGACATATTAGTCTATACAAGTAGTTTTCGTGTGATATATTTGTCTAGTTTTATTATTGGAATTATACTGGCTTCACAGAATGAGCTCTGATGTATTCTCTCTTGTTCTGTTTTCCTTAAAGAGCTTTGTGAAAGATTGGTGTTAACTCTTTTATTATTTGACAGAATCCATGGCTGAATAATTTGGTCTTTGACTTTTGTTTATGTGTCGAGGAAGTGGGTGGATTTAGTAATTAAATCTTCTTATATGTAATATACTTATTTATATTTTCTTTTCTCCTTCTCCTTCTTCTTCTTCTTTTCTTTTCTTCTTTTGTTTTTTTTGGTTTTTTTGGTACTGGTGATTGAACTCAGGACCTTGTGCTTGTAAGGTAGGCGCAGTGCCACTGACCTAAATCCCCAGCCTGACCAGTGATTTTCTTCTGTGGGGTTTCTTTATGTTTAGTAACTTACCATCAGAGAGACCTAACTGAGGGGCAGACATCTTGTGACATTTTGTGAAACAAACAGTTCTGTGGAGAATGTGCTATGCGTGTAAAGGAATACTTTTATTTGTAGGTCAACTAGTGTCTATTTAACTTTTAATTCATGTTGTTGCAAATATTCACAAACTCTTTAAGTAACTATAAACCAAAACTTATTAATGTAACCAATTAGAATTTCCAAATATGTAAATATTGATTATATTCTTAATGTTTTCAGAAGTTTAACATAGCAAGTTTTAAGTGCTTTGAAGTCTTCAAAAAGCTCCTAAAACAACACGTTTACAATTTTTTTCATTACACTTATGCCAAAATCAGTTTTTAAAGTGCTAATATGATGACTTAAAACTTAGCTTTTTTACTCTTACAGAGAAAATTGGAAGACTTGCAAACTAGAAAAAACTTTCAGCTTCTCTCTCATTCCCTCCCTATTTGAACCCTTATCAAGTTAGTTTGCATCACTTACACTGTTTTAAAGAAGAAATATTTTATTTTATATTATATTATTATTGATTTATTTTATATTATAAATTATTTGTCCCCTTGCCAGGGTAAAATTGGTACTTTTAGTGCTTCTCAGAGATGAACAATTTTACTTGAGTCTGAAGAACCATTTAAGAGTACATTAAATTTGCTAACATACTGTTATGCCAAGTAAATGCAATTATCTAAGTGTTTGAAGATATAATTGTGCTGTATTTCATGAGTAAAACCAGCTTCCTCTTTCCCCCTCCTACCTTTTGCTATTAATTTTAATAAGTGCACAGAAATACGATTATTCCCCTCATGGGGACAAAGAGTGCAATCGTCACAACTGTGAAAGTTTCCACTCCCAACCTGATCATCTGATTTAAACATAACCTCTTCAGAGTTACATGGCTGCATAAACGAGGCGCAAAGTGACTTGAAACGGTCAATGTTACTGAAGAAAGTCCTCTGAGTCTTCTCATGGATCCTGCAGTCTCTTACCCAGAACTAAGCATGCTGATCAGAAAACTCCAAACATGCTGAACTAGGAAAACTGCCAGAATCCAAACAAGTACTTGATTTAAAAGTAGATACAGATAAGGATATAGACACAGATTGAGCTTGCCCAACCTTGGCACTACTGATATTTTGGACAGAATAGTTCTTAGTTGTGGAAGATTGTGCTGTGCACTGTAGAATGTTTCATAGCATCCTAGCCCCAAACCCATGGGACGCCAGCAGCACCCTGGCCACTATCACAGCCCAAATGCCTCAGGATGTTGCCAAACTGGGAGAAAAAATTCCCCTTGATTAAAGACCACTGATAAATATATGTTATAATCCCAATGTATGTTGCTGTTTAGAGAATCAGACTCAGGTGGAAACTTTCTTAAAGGCTTCTCTTTCCTTGATAGTACTGCTTGAAGAGGTGGCCTACAGGGGTCTGCTTCTCCACACAAAGCTGCAGGTCAGTAGAGAGGCCAGAGGAGCCCAAGTATCCCAGAGAAGGGGCTGATCTCCAGTTTCCAGGCAATGGTGTCCTCTGCTTGCTTGGGATGGACAGGGATTGTTGACTTTTAGTAAGAGATTTTAAAAAACTGCAGACATAAATTTTTATGTCAAGCAGCCACATTGGCAATATGAGGAGGATGTGCTTTTAGGGATCAGTGGTTCACATGAACATTCTGCCATATTTCAGTTTATAAATTGAAAAAACACTGTATAGTTCAAGGCTATTCTCAATTCATCCCAATAGACAATGTATGAAGTAGAAATCTTCTGAATTTGGTGTATTGTCTCTTCTAACCTTTAATTTGTAGTGCTTTTGTCATTCTGTATTTTTGCATTTGCACTGGTATTTTAATGAATACAATTGAACTAGAAGGGTCTGATGTTTTATTGCAATGGAAGTGATTATTTCCTGTATCATGAAAATACTCATGTCATATTGTACTGTTATAAATGTTAAAACATCACAAAGATTATTGATAACATTCTGGTAACCTTTATCTGGCTTATAAATTCATTTCAATGTTATTTTCAACTTAGCCTCCAAGGAGAAAGCTGTTTTTCTACATTCAAAGAATATGAGAACTGGCACTAGAGATTTCATAAAGGAATATTTAGACAATTTCATTTTCTGAAGTAGACAGTGATATTGTATATGCCAACACTAAGGGAAAATAATTGACAATAATTTTGCAATGAGAGAAATTTTAAGCAATTTGTTTCATTGTGTAAGGAAAATAATTTAATTCACCAAACAGAAGTATCATATGGTACTCAACTGATTTTATTTTTCTTTTATAGCTGTAGCCATGGGAAATGTATTCTGCATAAGAAAGCTATGAAGATCTCATATATTCCTCATTTCTCCTATTTTACTTTACTCTCTTTTAATCTTATATTCTCTTTCCCCCTCTGCCTAGTCTCTCTCTTTTTCCACTATATTCTTCTTTTTGAAAATGTGTCTGTGGTTTCCTTTGTGCTCTATCCCCTTGGGGTTGGTCTTCTTATATCTTAATAGTTTACCAAACAGCCTGCAATGACTGTGCTCAGTTTCTATATGGAGCAGAGAATTGCTACAAACTTTTTATTTTGTCACATGAGAATTTTTAATATTTTTATCATGAGCCTGTATTGAAAGAGTTTGCACTAGGGAATAATCCCTTGCAGAATTAAATTTTCTACAGTGATAACACTGATCGTTGTCCACCTACTGTAATAGAATTGAGGCTAGTTAGTAGATAAAAGCACACTGAGGTGATTAAAAACTACATGGAGAAAGGAGGTAACAAGATGAAATTCATGTCCATTTTAACTTTGCATATAGTAAAGTTTATACTTTATCATGTATAGTCCTGAGTTGTGAAATATGCATAGTCATTGTAATGGCTTGTGTTTAGATGTCCCCCCAAAGCCTCATGCAGTCATAGATGACACTTTTTCAGAGGTGTTGGATCTAGAGTGTGCAATTGATTCATGGTGCAATGCTAGAATTAAAGGTGCTGGGCTTAAGGGTATGTGATTACTAAATTAGTCCACCGATTGGTTTGGTACCTGCCTTAAGCCCAGGAGCCTAGATAGATAGAATATAAGAGAGGCAGAAAAAAGCTGCCATGGTCACTTGTTGGTCCCCTTCGTTGCTTTTGCTGTCTTCTGACTGCCATGAACTATTTCTCTTCCGCGATGTCCCTCTACCATGCCACCCTGCCTTGGACCCAGCCAACTATTAACTGAAACCTCTACAAACTTTAAGTTAAATAAACATTTCCTCCTCTAACTTGTGGTTGTTAAGTATTTTGTCTCAGCAAAGGGAAAAGTAACTAACACACCATGTTTACATAAACATGGTGAATGCTGCTGCTGCTGCATGCCATCCAACAGAAAGGCAGGCTGGTAAAAAAATATTGGTGAGTCCCCACCCACCTAATTCACCAGATCTGGCTCTGTGAGACTCTGGCTCCTTCCTAAAGTCAAAATTTGATAAACATTTTGAATTGCTTCAGGACATGAAGGCAGCCATGCAGCTAAAAAAATTCATGAAAGAGGACTTCCAAAACTGCCCCCAAAAAGTGGCAAGAAGGGTGAAATAAGTGATTGAAGTAAGGGGGAGTATTTTGAGGGAGATTAAAGGCAATGTGTCTTTTATTGTAATAATCTTTAAAATTTAAATATTCACTGTATTTTTCTACCACACTTCATATTTTGGGGTTATTTTATGTATTTTTTCTTTTAAAATTTTATTTTATTTTTTGTGGGGCTGGAAATTGAACCCAGAACCTCACACAGGCTAAGTAAGAGCTCTACCATGGAGCTACATCTCTAGTCCATGTTTATTTTTCATTGACAAAATTTTACCTATTTATGCTGTACTACGTGATGTTCCTATACATGTATATGTTATATAATGTTCAAATGAGAATAAGGAAATAAATGTCTTCAAATATTTATCATTTCTTTGGGGTGAAAACGTTCAAAATTTACTTTTAGCTTTTTATCTGAAATACAAAGTACGTTATCATTAACAATAGTCACCTTACTGTGCAGTCAAAAACTGTAGCTTATCTTTCCTATGAAACAACATTTAGTGCTTGCTAACCAGTTTCCCCACCACTCTGTCCTCCTTCTCTTCCTAGCCTCTGGTAACCACTGTTCTATGATCAACTTCTCTGAGAGCAATCCTTTTAGATTCCACATAAGAGTGAGATCATACAGTGCTTGTCTTCCTCTGCCTGGCTTTTTTCACTTATCATTATGACCTCTAGTCCCATCCATGTTGTCACAACTTGGAGGATTTCATTCTCTTTTTAGGCTGAATAATGTAACGTTGTCTATAGATACCATATTTTCTTTATCAGTTAATCAGTTTATGGACATTTAGGTTGATTCCATTTCTTGGCTGTTGTAAATAGTGCTGCAATGAATGTGGGAATGGAGGCATCTCTTTGACACACTGATTTCATCTCTTTTGGATATATACAATAGTGGGATTGCTGGATTCTATAGTAATTTTATTTTTAATATTTTGAGGACCCTCCATTCTGTTTTCTGTAATGGCTGTCCTAGGTTATAGTCCCACCAATTTAGGGTGTAAGTGTTCCATTTTCACCACATACTGCCCACACCTGTCATCTTTTTTCTCTTGGATCATAGGCAAATAAGTGTACAATGATACTTTATTGTGGTTTTTATTTGTATTTCTATGATGATTAGTGATGTTGAGAATTTTTCATGCACTGGTTGGCTATCTGCATATATATTTTTTTCTTCCTTTAGAGAAATGTTTACTTAGCTCTATTGCCTATTTTAAAATTGGTTTATTAATATTATTAGCTATTAAGTTCTTTATATATTCTAGATCTTAAACCCCTTTCAGGCATATAATTTTCAGATTTCCCCCTCATTCTGTAGATTGTTTATTTATTTATTTATTTTGGTACCGGGGATCGAACTCGGGTCCTTGCGCTTGCGAGGCAGGCGGCGGAACCACTGAGCTAATACCCGGCCCAAGTTTCACATGTTTACAGTAAGTCAACTTTAAGTAATGATTTGTTCCTCACAAAACTCCCTCAACATTGGATAAATATTGTCATTGCCATTTTAAAGCAAGCAAAGAGCCTACTTACTCATTATGCCGGTATATCAATCTTCTGACCACTATTCTAGCATTGTTCCAATGAGAATATAAGCTAAAAGAGGGTAAACAGATTTCTCTCTGCTCCTAGAAGAGCACCTGGCACATATGGGCATTTAAATATTTGCTGCATGTATCAGTTAATAAACTCCCACTATATAAATATGCGTAAAACATCAAAGCAGTGGAAAAGAATCAGTATAAAAACATGACTACTGCAAAAAAGAAAATAACCTAAGAACTTTTTATCCTACTAATATAACAGTACCTACATTTTAATTACTGCAGCATAGCATACAAGATGAATGTGTTCATTTCGATAAAACAAGAGTCATATGTATAATTATATGGAAAGTTATTTAATGTACAGTATATTTCTGGCAATTTTATTAAATATATTGCATTACGGCATCCTTACTAAAAACATAGTCACTGATAAGTCAAAAATTAAAGATATAATATTTGCACAATCCATTCAGTTAAAGCTCACTGATGTGAAATATTTCAGAATTACAAAATGTTTAAATCTTTTTACTGGATCATCTTTTTTTCTTTTTTTTTTGGTACTGGGGATTGAACTCAGGACCTCGAGTTTGCCAGTACTTGCTGTGCCGCTGAGCTAAATCCCTGGCCCAGAAGGATCAAATTTCTCAAATTCAGTGTTCATGAAGTAAAATGTAATACACTTTACAAACTATTGCAGATTTCTCTTTATTTCCTCTACATCTTTAAACAAAATGATAGGGTTGAAATTACAGAATTAAACAAAATTATAGAATGTCCCTTCTTTTGACACCAATTACCCAAGAGGATTGCTTTAATGCAAGGGCTCCTAACCTATCTGGGAGTTGGGAAGGCAGGGTTCACAAAAGACTTCTGCAAATCTCATGAAAAGATGGAGCAAATACTTACACAACAGATCTCTCATACTTATTACTGGGGACAGTTACTCTCAGAGACATTTGATTTAGAACAATTATCATCATTTCTCTATTCAAAGAAATGTATATTCTTAAAATCCTTTTACTGTGTTATTATATTACTCAACTCTCTCCTAAAAGATTACATGGTTGCCAGTGTTTTCACAAAGGGAACAAATACAGAGCGAGGAGAGAGCTGATCATAAAATTCTGTCACCATGTTTTGGTCAGAATAGAAAACATTTGATGTTTAAGGTTTTAGCTCTGCCTTAAGGTATTCTACTTCTATTCTCCCTCTGCTCTCCAGTACAGTAAAGTATTAAAAACAGAAGCATTATCAATGAAATACAAAAAAGATTCCACCTGCCTGGTACCAGAGATTGAACTCAGGATTTGTGTTTGCGAGGCAGG